AGTCCACGAGCAGCACGTTGAGGGAGCAGCCGGGCAGTTGGTTTCTTTTGGGATGTGGGCTGCGCAGAGCTTGCAGCCTGGTGGTGGGAGCGGAGCTGCTGCGGCTGCTGCTGCTGCTTCTCCCCCTCTCCCGCGGACGATGTTAATAGGTTGCAGAGTGGTCGTGTCTAAGGGCTTTGGGCCGTACAAGGAAGTGGGGCTGGGAGCCCGTGAGACGCGGCGGAGCTCTGACCAGGGTAAGAGAGTCACTCGCTCCACTCCTGATCAACTCCGCTCTCAACCCGGCGCAGCAGGAGGATTCCCCGGAAAAGGCAGCAGCTGCTCGGCTCCCACCGCTTCGGCAAAGGACGCGTCCCCTCCCCACGTAGGGAAGGGGGAGGAACAGCGATCTCTCGCCGCGTGGCTACCAGGCGTCTCCATAGGGTGTAATCTCTGCCCCCGGGCCAGGAAGAAATGGAAGGGTTGGGGGCGGGAGGTCGTAGCTCCGGTTGAACTTTGTAGGACCCAGAAGTAGAGGCTCCTGCCAGCACAAGGTAGGAAGGGTGGCGTGGGGCGAGAATTCTCCACCAGCCACCCGGAGCAACGACCCGGGCGGGCAGTTTGCTGCAGGAGGACCGAAAGGCAATGTCTCTGAAAAATACAGACTTTGGAGGAGTTTAATGCAAAGTAGCTGAAATATGTCAGCTAGGTCTCGTATTTGAAAGAGTACAGTCATGGAGGGGGGCTGGAGAATCCTAGAAGTTTGAAGAGGAAACTTGTTTTTAATACGCTAGTGTAACTTATAAAAAACTGCATAAAATGCTGAGGCAGGTTACACATCGAAGTTCATCTTTTCTACCAGTTATTGAATAATTAAATAATATTATGATAATCTTACCTTTGATGTTGAACTACGAATTCCTTCGGATCAGTGGCCAGAAAGTTAGATTTGGTGACTTAGGACTTCAGTACTTCTGGAAAAAATACCAGTGGGTTAGCCAGGATCTTCCCTGTCTGATTCGTCACTATTATTGTATCTGATGATGTGGATGGACAGAGTCAATCCAAGCTCATTAATGAGCTATTTTATAAACACCACTGTCTGAATATCTTCGTTTACATTTTGTCAGTGATCCTTTCCTTAACATCAGAGACTTGTGTCAACAGCATGATTGCAGAACGTTAGTATAGCTCCTACAAAGAATACAACTGGCTTGTTAATCGATTAATATTTTATTATTTGTAAATATTTTATAAAGATTTAGGAAAACTATTGATTCTAAATTATTAAACCACTCAGTTGGGGCAGCTGAATAATGCATACAATTAAATACATTTAAAGATGTGCTTTGCAGTTGCTTTATTTTCAATGAATCCATTACACCTCTTTTATGAGTTTCTGTTATTTTCTTTTTTGTTGTTGCTTTTTGGGGGGGGTTCTTTTTTCTTTGTTTTATATCTGTGCGTTATATGGAAAATCTGGAGCTGTAAAACTTGTTCTCTACGTATAAAATTCATTACACTTTTCCTTGTTGAGTGGTAATAATTATGACACGGAAACTGGGAGGATTATTATTAAAGATACGCAAAACGGAACCAGGTTACTTAAATGCTGCTGGTTAGTAAGTTTTGTTTCTTAGGTATTATTTTATTCAACCCGATTTATGAGAGATTTTTCCATACATGATTTTTAATTTTCTTTTACAGAATATTTCCCAATAAAGGCCCTTCTGTTTCAAATTACATGGCTTTTTCCAGTACTGTACTAAATTTTCACGTTGTCTTTATTTCAACTGAGGTGGGGGGAAGCGATTGCATACCATCGCATTTTTTAAAATATAAAAACAAGCTGGCTTCTTTTATTAATAACCTCTGCTTTTTCGTCATTTAGAACAAATTCAAATGCCAAGGATTTCTGCTTGGACATATTCTGACGAATGCAAAATGGATGCGCTTATTAGTGTGTGACAATCTTCGTTATTTGAGTTTTTGAAACCCTCGCATGGTGTGCTGCCAAAGAATTTTCTGAACACAACCTCGGTGGAAAGGTTTGTTTTTAATTAACTCTCACTTTTCCAGCCAACACACTTTCAAGCGATTTCAAGTCCCAGCGTTGTCCAACCTTCAAAAGCGCCAGGAGCGAAAGGCTGCGGTATTTTTGTAGATTTCCCTGCACTAAAGTTAGGCTTCCTCTCAGTCTGCTGGGCTCAGTTGCGCGGAGTTTGCGACATTTGAAATATTGTCCCGTGTGGGGTCATAGTGGGAAATATTCCTGCTCTTCACAAATCATCTCCGCCCCCGCCGCAGTCGATGACCAATGATGCCTAGTCAAGCTGATTTCCTGCTTTTCTCTCTCCTCCAGGATCTCTTTCCTCACCTTGCCTGTTTTTCCTTCCTTCGTAGAGGCAGGCCCCTGCTGCCCTGACCCTGCCTTGTGCCTCTATCTCCCCACGGCTTCTCGTGGGTGCTCTGAACTCCCAAGTCCTAACGCCGGCCAGGCTGCAAGCAACAGGGCGCAGCCCTGCCTGGAGAAGCAGCGGGCATCGCGTTTTCTGTTTACTCCGCCGCTTGGTAACGGAAGCCAAGGCCTGTGCTGCATCCCCCGGGCCAAAGGGGCAGCGCAGAATAAGAAGGGGAGCCAACCCCCGCTTGAAATGCACCGGCTGCTGCTGGGGCGGAAGCGGAGCAGTTAGATTCTTTCTCGGTGGCGAATTCAGCAGAGAGGAAAGGCCCGGAGAGGCCCAAACCTCCACCTGCAAATGGAGGCCGCGAAGCCAGCGACGCCAGCGACGGCTGGTCTTGCACAGTCACGGCTCATCCTCGGAGCGCCTAGAAGGTCGCTCTGCAGAGCCCTCGGGGCTGAGCGGAGAGGGGGTCCGGGGTGGCTCCATTGTAATCCCCTGGGGTGACGGCAGGCTGCAGGCTTTGGCTAAACCCTTGGCAGGGGTCAGCCGGCCGGTGCTCGCTAGAGAACAAAGGAGAGCAGCAAAAACAAAAACAAAAGCCACAGAGCGCGCGAGAACGATTGTGCTTAAAACTCAGTCGTTGCTGGCACGAGCTAAGGCAAAAATGCAAAGCACGCAAGTTCAGGGAAACAAAGCTGGCCGCATCTCTGGAGCCGTGGGGCGCTCCCTCTCGCGCCTTCGTCTCAATCTGGAGCCAATTTGGGGACTTGTACGCTCGGGTGTGGGAGGTGGGACATGACGGCCGGGACAAGAGGTGAGGGAAACTGGCAAGGAGTGGGAGATCGGGGGAGTGACAGGCGGGGCGCGCTGGGACAAGGGGAAGGGACCGTGCGGGTGGAGGAGGATGAGACGGGCAGGGAGAGGAAAGAAGCGCGGGGAAAGTGAGGAAAGAAGCGAGAAGAGGGATGATCAAGGTAAGTCGCCTGGGGCAGACGGGGCCGAGGCAGAGTTGATGCGGGACAGGCGCTCCAGTGCTAGGCTGGGCTTGGGAATGGGGCTGGCTCCAGCTGGGCTCAGCTTGCCTGGAGGGGACTGAACGCAGGAAAGAAACGAGGGCGTGGTGGAGCGGCCTGTAGCAAGGCGCCCTCTGGACCAGAAGGACGCCCCCCCTCCCCTTTTACTTCTTGACCCCCCAAGGAATTTGCAGCTGAGCCCGCCCCCCCCCCCGAGAGCGGAGGGCAGCCAGAGGTGGAGAGAGGCTGCAGCCGCGCGTTACAGCAGCCGCACGTCCAAGCTCTCCGCCCCGAGCTTCTCTCGCTGCTCCAGCTCTGCAGCAGCGCGCGGCCGCAGGGGCTCCACGCTGAGAGCCCGGGAGCACCCAGGCCCCGCGCTCAGCGCCGCACGCGGACCAGCCCCGAGGCTGCTACACACAGCGCCACCGCGCGGGCCGCTGCGGGAAACACCAGGCGAGGAGCCGGCCGGCCACCGCGCGCAGTCCCTGGGTTGCTGCCCGGGGTCGCCAGCCCCTCCAGCGAATCAGTGCAGCGGGGGCCCCCGGTGATGGGACCTGCGTGGCCCTTCCCGGGCTTCTCCCTTCCCACGGCCAGAGCCCCGCCAACACCCACCCCCACACAGCCCCCTCCTGCCCGGGGCACCTCACTGGGGAGGCGCAGCTAGGGCTGCTCGGGGTTATCTTCCACCCCCGTGCTAATGGCTGGAGGGCGTCACAGCGAGCACCGCTCTGCTGGAAGCGAGCCCTCCTGCTGGCACTGGGTTTGCAGAAGCGGCGCATTGCGAGAGATGGAAAAGGGGGGGGGGGATCGTGTTTTTCTACCTTTCCCTCCTGATTGGGGAGAGAGGAGCCTGATAGCCCGAGAGCCCCGCTTCCAGGGCTGGCCCGGTGTTCCCTGGCACGCTGCGATCCCCCGCATTACTAAGCGCTCACTCACGCGGCTGCCAGGTTTCGCGGTGAGACGGAACAACACGCACCGCCCGCGACTGTGGAATTAATACAGCCCTTCGAGTTCCCTCCCCTCGGGCAACTCGTCCTCTGCACTGTTGAAACTGCCCCGCGCACAGCGCACAGCTCCGGTGGGAACAGATTCATGGAGCAAGTTTGGCTCCAGCCTCTGTTCACTCCTAGCAGGCCAGGAGGGACAAGTTCAGTGGCAGGATGTTCTAGTCAAGTGTATTCACTGAGCCTTTAAATGTCATAGACGAGCACAGACTATTCATCCAGCAGTCACGCGGAATAGAAACAGGCGGTGACAACACCTTCGGCGCGCAGTGAATCTGCTTATTTAGCCCTAAAGACCAAAACTAAAGGGCGGTTTAGACCTGGCTAAAATGCTGGGTAGAAAGGTGACCCTTCTCCTTTGGCTTTGTCCAACTATAGAAACTGGCTGCTGACGCGCTGGTTGGTTGTTCGAGCATTTAAGGCTATTTACTTATGGCGGGGGGGGGGGCTTGGTTTTGTTTGATTGTTGCAGGGGGTGGTTAGTCTAATTTGTACCCCAAAGATTTTAAAAAGACCTAAAGCCCCTAAAAGTCGTCAAATCTTTAAACAGATCGTTTTCATAAAGGCGATTTCTCAGCAAACGCTGTCCCAATCTTCTACTTTCCGCCTTTTGAGGATTTTATTATTAAGAAATGTGCTGCTGACTTAGATTTCCTGGAACAGGAACTGTGGATTTGTACTGTACAGCTGGAACTGGTGCAAATACGATTTTGCACACAACAAATGCATAGGGGGGGAACTGGCCGGGGATTTTATAACTAGAAATAGCACATTTCGGTCGAAACGATCGCTAAATGCTACTTTAAAAAAAGCTGTGTTTTCATAGCTACGCCAACATGCGACTTTCCAGGCCCGAGTCTGTTCCGGTCCAAATCAATAATAAAACTTCAGTGATTTCAATAATATGTAAGAATTGGAGAAATCGCCCTTTTCTGACTTCGGCACGTCTCTTATTAAGGAATAAAAAAAAGTAAATTGTCAAAATGTTTACGCAGTGATAGTTTCTCAGTAGTTTAACAGCAAGAGCACAAGTTAAAAAAGCCAAGTTTCGTTTCCCTTTAAAATATAAATATTATTTATTAATAAGTGTATTATATAAGCGCTAATGAAAGTTATGATTGACATTGTCTGCATTTACATTGTACGAAGATTAATTGTTTCCATTACTATCATTAAGAATTATTTTTAATATTTATATAACTCTTGTGTATATATAGTATTTTAAAGTACTCTTAAATAGCCTATTTCCGATATATTAATATTTGCTTTATTTTCATGCTAGCCAATTAATTTTTATCAATGATATGCAGTACTTAGGCTGTCTTCATTAGTATGTCATATCGGTTTTCTTTTATAAATGCCAGTGGTTTTAATATTATTATAAACATAGATCATAAAGCAATGATCTTCTATGCGATTTTTCTTATTTATGATTGCAGACCATAATTATATATAATTTTATGACAAGCTGCACCGTTTTTATTTTAAGGAAAAATTAAACACATTCGATCAAATAAAAATTATGCAACAAGTACTCGTGACCAATGCAATCAAAACACCACGTCTTTTAAACTCCCTGCTACTAACCAGGGAAATTCAAATGAAATTCGTCCAGATAGAGGATATGCTAAGAGCTGCCGTTTCGAATGATAATCGCAGTTCGACACAACGAAATTAATACCATTGTTCTATTGCATGGGCATGACCTACAGCTAAGAGGTACCTTAAGTAATCGCGAAACAAAAATTCGGATACAACGCAGAAGTGAGCCTAAGATCTGCATTGTTACCCCCCCAACCAGAGGTAACAAAGGTGAGCTTTCCCAGGAATGAATACTGTTCTTTATTCGTTATCTCACGTAACTAGTACACTTACCCGTGAAGGGTTTAAGGCACTACGGTCTCTCACCAAGACATTTTAAGTGTGCAATGCTGAGCTTGTGCACCCTAGAGACATATCTCATTCATCTGTCTTTTATCTTTCTGTAATGAGCTGCGTAAAAAGGCGAGAGATGTTTTTCTCTGTGTGTGTGTGTGTGAGTGTGTTCTAAAGTAATGGGAAGGTCATTTTTAACCCACGTGGAAAGCAGCACTTGCCCAAAATTTCTGAAAATTACCTCAGCAGCCAAAGACCAAATTTACATGGAAAATACAGCGCGACTGAGAAGACAAGCCCGTCATCAAAACACTGTCCCCGTGGCCTTAACCTTCAAAAATGGCATTAATCTCTCCCACTTGTATCTCCTCCCCCGCACCCATGTGCGTCCTAGCTCAAAAGCGGCTTCTTGTAGAGGGCGAATTTAATGATCTGTTCAAACTCTGGAATAAAAAGAAAAATCATTCGCGTTCCTTCACAATGAGGTTTCATTTGTTCGTCTAGATCCAAGCTTTCCTTTCCCCTACAAACAAAACAGAAAGCACCCGGATCCCTCTATAAACTCTCCAACAAATAAAACAACCAGAAAAACATCTTTCCACTCGTTCGTTTTATAACAGAGACCTGAGGTCCCCCTAGCTCCCAGCGATTCCTTCATACATTCCTCAGATGTATGAAGGACAGTAGTGCTAGAAAACTGCGGGATCTGAACAATAAGGCGAAATTAGAAACCGCAGCTTACACTGCAAACAGCGACCCTTGGTCCTGTCGCCTCTCCAAAGAGCTCAGTGAAATCCCAAGGGATTTCTGCTTGGCTCCGGGTTACAGAACTGGACGCACAATGAGTTTTGGTTGTCCCGAGACAGAAGGATGGGACCCTGTATTTTTATATTTCCATGCAAATAACTATCCTTGCAGACCTGCGTATACACAGAAGGTTTGCCAGGGAATTTCGAGTTAAAATAAACATTAGAAGGATTTATTGAATAGTAAAGACTGAAAAACAACCCCCCTTATTAATGGATACTTGAACAGTTTCAGAGAACTCTACTGCACTTCTGTACCATCCGGGCAAGTTTAAGGCAACTAACATTAAAACACCGTAGCCACACAGTAATAAATCATGGTTCCTCTCGGTTATCGGGTTGAATGTGTCCCCCTTCTAGGTATAACTGCAGAGAAGCTGTAGAAGGGTTAGCCGCGCCAACTTTTCGTTTTCCAATGGTTCTATAGATACTGCTTATAGATACTGTCTGTATTTAGCAAGAACGGGCGAAATTCGATCCTCCTGTATCCTGCCAAACACACACCGCGCTCCAATATACTTGACTTTCATTTGGATTTAGATCGCTTTTGGTTGGGAGGAGGGAGGCTTTCCTCGAGTCCTGGGTCTCAGAGCTGCCCACGGCCAGATAAAGGAGCTCCATGATTTGCCTGTTTACAGCAGGTTCAATTAAAACCGTCCCATCCCCTG